AAAACAAACGACGTGAACTTCATTGTTAGCTATAATCCATTTATTCTGAATATCTTGTGGCATCATGATTATATCAAAGCAATCAGCACAGGACACTTAAATTCAAATAAAGATTAATCACAATTAAGTCCTGAATATTTACAGTGAGATAACTCAAATCCTTACTAATAATAGTAGGTACAAAGTGCATCGTAAGGATTTTTTTGTAAAATATATTGTATAAATTAGATTATGAAAATTTTTTAAGTATTGTCATTATAATTGCACAGAATTTAAGGTTTTCAACGTCATCTTTGTGCATCATTTCTAAGTTTTGTTTAGTAATTACACTCTATGAGTGATGGGAATTTTTCATATTTTAAAATTATCGTCTACAAGTACAACAGAATCTATAGATGGCTTTTTATCCTATATTTTTCATTTTATACCCTTCTTTCACTTTGATAAGTTCCCTTTCTCTGTATTTTTTGTTTTTCGCTCTTTCTGTATCACATTTCAATTTCTTTGAAACAATCATCTGGTAACTTGCTATTGCTACTAACAGTAGTAGTAAGTACTTTAAAAATATAAGGAAATAATCAACTAATCATTAATGATTAATTAATTACTCCGTAATCATTACTTTTTTTCAGTCTAATTTGTAGGTATGGACACTATATTGTTTATTCTCATCGACATAAAAACAGTATGAAAACGAAATGATAAGAAACTCCAGTAAAAATATGCACCATTAAAGTTTACTTAGGCGTTTTTTCTGACTTCCTCGTAAGTCTACCTGGAAATAATTTTGTAGAAGGTAAATAAATCTTTATGCTTTACTGTAGATCTCTGTCACATTAAGCTCATGACAATCTAAGAATCGGTACCAGTAATGTAAAACAGGTAGGTGTACATACATGTAATGTGAACACACACATACACTACAAAGACGACAGAGATAAAGAGAAATAAGAAGAGTTGAACAAACCATTATCTTATGGTATTAAATGTAAATTTTTCAATGTCAGTACGATTATCGTTTTACGTAAAAGAATATTACATCCTGTAAAAGTTTCATTACATATGGAATGATTGTATATATGAATGCAAAGATTTGACTGTAAATAATATAACTTAGATAATACTTGAAACAAAGAGAGTAAATAATATTCTAGATTACTGTATTACATAGATTGTATTTGATCACACTTCATTTAGATTGTGAAAGTTATGTCTGTAGACTGATGTTAGTTTAATGAATTCAATTTTAATTTGATTGACATTTCAACCATTTGATTTAAATCATTTATTAGTTAGTTGACCTGTTTTGGTTAGTGAAACTGTGTAACAGTTACGACTGTTTACAACCTGAACATTATATTCCAGTAAAGTGGTTTCCAATGACAATTCTATTTTTTCTGTCAGGCATCTATTTTAGACAGTTATTGAAAACTAGAGATTTCTTAGCAGTAAACAAAAACTACTTCGACCGGATCGAATCGAAGACCTTCTGCTCTCATGAAGACTAATTGACCTTTAGCCCAATGAGCCAGTATCCAAAGGTGTACACGCCTAAGTTCAATCAGCTTTATGTATTGGGTGATTAACTTCTAATGCATGAGGTCGATAACTGTCACTTATCCGACACAGACGAACTTCACTAGTCATGGCTTCTTAGTAGAACTTCCGGAATAACTTCCAAATTAGGCGGTAGAATTTGTTTGAGTTATATCGCTAATCTGTTAAAGTTAGATATAAAAACCACTGAATTCAGGCTCAGTAGCCTATAGGTTAAACGTCCTGGGTTCGAATCTCGCGGGGACGGGATCGTGGATGCGTACTGCTGAAGAGCCTCATACTAAGACGAAATGGCCGTCCAGTGCTTCCAGGTTTTCAATGGTGGTCTAGCTTCAACTGACTCATGATTTCAATCTGTGAAAATTCCTAAAATCTCCACAAACCCCTTCTGATAAAACTCTGAATGTAGAAATAGACAATGAGTATGAAATTTTTCAAAATATTTTCCTTCATTAATCCATTATTAAAAAATCAAAAGTGTAAATTATGTTTTATGCTAGGTGATATTAATAACAGACACATATTTCATTTCTGATTTAAATATTCGACTAAATAAAAAGGGAAACCGTCTACTGACTTTCTTTTCTAGAAAACAATTCTTTTTTACATCTTTTTAGATAGGTCTTAGATTTTGTGTGTTCTGTAAAATGTAAGTGTATGTATAGGTGATTCTGTATGAAGTGCATATGGATACATGCACAGACTCACGCACACACACATAGATACACATATGCATTACTACACCGGATGGTAATAAAATTATATTTCAGATTATAATGATTGAAGAAAGATGAAAAGTTGCATACAATCAATGCACATGTAATTCGAGTTTTTTCTGGTTTGTAAAAGAAATAATCATGAAATATTATATACATGTTGAATGCATACAGGTTGGCATTTATGCATGAAGTGCGTATGCTTATTTCCTTGAGTTCATTATCATCTTAACCTCTATCTTATAATCATTAAATTCACTTATGTTAGTGTATTTAAAATATGTTGTTTTTCTGTTCAGTATATAATTTAATTATACTTTCTTTTCCATCCAGTTATAAATGTAAAAATATTGGATAACTGTAATGAAGTCTGAAAATCTACTTTACGGACATTTCACACACGCACATACATACATACAGACAGATATATTTACGCAAAACTTGAATAAGATTAAACTTAAAACAATCAACCACGTCGTTCATTTCACAATTTTATTATTTAACGTTTTATGACAACTAGTGAATTATTTCAAAGCGGTTTATGATGAACAAGTTTCAGTTAAAATTTACTCTGGTATTGTAAACTGAAATACTGAAGAATGAGATTTTATTGATAGTAATATAAAACTAAATGTGATTTGATTAGATACCGTTTTATTTAAACCTATTTTAACAGCAATTCATTATGGTTCCGGTAATCTTGAATGGCATGGATTCAAACCCTGGTGGGTTCGTGGCTGTACACCGCTAAGAAGTCCTATACTGGGGAGAAAAAACTTCAGTGCTCTCTAGTGGTACACCAAAGAAAATCGGTCTGTGTCAAATGAAACCTATGATGTAAATCGATTTCTGCAGAACTTGGTCAACTTAATTTTTTATCTTATCAAACTATTTTCCTTAATAAAGTGTTGTGTAGATTGTTAAATTTCTTTGAAATCATGAACCGGTCCATATTAATCGGCCTTTGAAAACCTGGAAGCACTAAATGAGCGTTTCGTCTTACCATTGGGCTCTTGAATGGTCCTCGTTCACGACCCCGCAAGCAATCTTAAACTAGGAACTTTGCTCTCGTGCGCGAACGCCTGACCTCTAGATAGCCAAGTCGGGATCCCATGGTGTTAATTTCTGAATTCAACCAACCCACGATATTGCACGACCATCTTTCATTGCCTTCATTGAGCAACTGTCTCACACTCAACAGGAATTAGTCCTACTGATCATGGCTTCTCATTTGAAGTCTCGAAATTTCTTCTCGGAGCTAATCGTAGATGTAATCTTCTGAAGAGTCCGACCTTAGGACGAAATGGTCGTCAGTGGTTGTCTAACAGAGATTAGTTTATGGTTCCAATGACTTTTTCTAGAACAGAATACATTTTACTTTTATTACCTTATTTTCATGCACGAAATCGTTCAATCTAGACTGTTTTCTTTTCAATTTAATGGGAGTAATTTCTTAAAGTAGCTGTGCTTACTACTGTAAGATACGAAAATCCATCATTATTCAAACTCCATTGAACTAATAATAAGAATAAGAATAATTAATTGAAAAAAGAACTAAAAACCAGATTCTTTGATTTGTTAATTCACCATCTTACTTTTAAATGTACAAGTACAAGACATCGATGTCATATGAAAAATCAACATGATTTTCACCCAGGTAAACTAACAGATAAGAACTTCGGAAAAGTTAAGCTCTAAATAAGTATGATTAAATAAGATGTTCATATCAGGTTGACCTTTTAAATGTATAAACGGTAGATGTTAACAGCTATAGCTAAACACCGTTTTTTTCGGTGTAACATATAATGTTTTTATGACCGGATGAATTTACTTCAACTACACATAAATTAATTACTGATGAATGCAAATTAGTGAAATTTTGTTCACGATTTAACCAGCATTCAAAAATAAAGAGGATTTTGTGGAAATTAATATTCTGAAATAGAATTTTCAATCTATAGTTTTGGTGTCATATAAATTTTTATCCGTTTATCTGTTTCCATATTTTTATTCATCATTACATAGATTATGACTCGAATATTTCTGTTGAGACCAATCTGTATGGAACCAAATGAGTATAGTTTATTCAACTACTAAAATTAAAGTTCTTAATTACGTAATCATCACTAGTCCTTTAATGAAAACATATATATAAATCTATCTCAATTGTCAAACACTATACAGACATTTCATTACTGAAATTTGATTCACTTTGGTTTCATCCTAACAAAAAGTGTTTTAATCAAGCAATCAATTAAAATCGCATTATTTTAACCTATTTCTACCCTACCATAAATAAATTTAAATAATCTAATGGTGCTAAAAATATTACTGTTTCAATCTATTCAATCAAGTTTAATGAAATACGATTTCCTGTTATTTTAGGTGTACAACTGTGGTGTATGCTACTTATGTTGACAGAAACAAGTAGTGTGTAACATCAATCAGATGTAAAATCCCTGGCAGCAGAAGAGTGAGAAGATCGAACTGAAGAGAAAAGGAATATAAAAATAGAATAACTATAATGATAACGGAATTAAAAGGATCATGAAGTATGTAAAGGACAACCGATGGAAGATATGCAAATAATGGATTTAGTGTATGATTTTCATATTTTACGATGGCACTATACAATTATGCATAAGATAACTAGTTGGTCTTCCCCAAATGAGTCTTTGTTCACTACACAAGAAATCAATAAAATAAAAATAAAAAAAATCAACTTACTTATGATTTTTTCCAAGTTTTTTCGCTTCAAAATCACAAAATGTTACACGTGGAAAATTACCCGAATGAAACCATTCACGTCCTTTTAATAAATCATATAATACACGAAATCCATAAAATGTACTATCATTACCAACAAATTTTTCCATCATAAATAATTGTCCAATAATATTTGTTAAATATAAGAATTTAGTGAAAAAATATAAGAGAACTAAAAAATTTCCCTGACGTTTACCACAAAAACATGTACAACAATAATGTAAATGTTGTTTCTTATGTAAATTTAATGATGATTTTTCTTGTGATTTATATAATGTAGGTGATAATGTATGAATAGAACGATATGAATTTGTTGTATTCACATTTGTTGTTATGTTTTGTTGAGTATGACTATCATCAATTTTTAAACGTCCAAGCATTGGATGATAATCACCACTATTTCTAGAATTTAATGTTTCCATTGTTGTAACTAATGTATTAGCTTCTTCTGTAACAGATGGTAATCGTTTTTTACTTTTTTTATTATTATCATCTATAGAGAAACTATGTCTAATTTTATCGAATAATGATGTATTAGAATCACGACGTGGTGATGTAATCAATGTGGATTCTATTTGATGATCATTATTGTAACGATTTTCATCACCGCCTATAGGTGATTGTCTTGAATTAACTGTTGTTAGTTGCTGATGAAAATGACTTGTAGGCATATATGGTGGTGATTGGGTATGTGAATGAGGTGGTGGTGGTGGAGGGGGATGGTGCAGATGTGAATGTGGTTGTTGTTGTTGATGAAGATGAGGAGGATAAGAGGGTGAATAGTGTTGATGAACATGTATATGAGGTGATTGTCCAAGACCAGTGTAACTTGTAGGAGAAAATCCTAAAACTGTTGATAATTTTCTTTTCCTATAATCTCTTTGTCTATAAATACAACCTTCCATATAACGAGCTATAAAGCGTACATTTTTCATTGTATGCTCTGGTAGTAGAACATTAGAATCACATGACATTTGTAGAATACGTCTAACGTTGAAACCCGACTGAGCCATAAATAAACGCCATATAAGACATGGTAAATAAAATAACATAGCTTGTATAGCCATCACAATTGGTGCCCATTGATAGTAACCAATAAGTAACATCTCTCTATCCGGGGCTGGAGGTAAACTATGCTGTAATGGAGCGAAATAAGTATTAGATACCCAGCAATAATTCTCAGCATATTCTTCCCAACCACGTGTAAACTCTTGTGGAATCCAACATTGAATAGGTTTACCTTTAAAAAAAACGAAACGAAAAATTGGCAAAACTAAGATGTTTAACCACATTAAACTCTATTGAACGAAACATAATTTGAAATTAAGGACAAATTCAACCGTTGCTTCCCATGACTTGTCAGCAAACAGTTTCTCAATAAATTTTAGCCATTTTGTTGACAGAATATTGATTTGATTTTCTGTTTGTCGAATTGAAGTGTAACTAGTCAAAATGATATATTATTAAGGTTAGATACTAAGACCATTGCATGCCGACCTAATGGTATGGTAGCCAAGCATTTGAGAGTGAAACCGAAGGTCATGCGTTCGATTCCCACTTGCAGGGTAGTAGATGAGCACTTTTGAGAATCAAAAAATGTAGTTTTATTTGTCGAGCTCACCAACATACATGATATTAACAATTGTTTATATTCTTCTCTTAACGAGGAGTAATGGTAAATTCTTATCAGTCATTTGTTTATTTCATTATATGTTTCTCAATACAACAAATGCATAACAGTTCAAATAGAGAATTTGAACATGTCAGAAATCATTCAGATGGTTTGAATTTGAATTTCATGTAAGTGTCAAATCCCATAGAGCTAAAATGCATCAATTGTATTATTCGATCACCTTATAGCAGTTAATATCACATTTTCTAATCCTCAGCGCTGATCTATTAGGTTGTTATTCAATCTCTGGTTATAGGGTCTTAACACTTAAACGTGAATCGTTTCATTTCTAAGTTCACCGTGTCTTACCAATACGTCTACCAAACAAGGGTCAAACAAAGTGTACTGTTATATCTAGCCACCCAGACTAATAGCCACATTTCAAAACTATAGAAAAATCAATCATTATTGAGGTCAAGACAATATAACACCCATTATTACTGTGTAATTGATCTTATATCAACTCAGGTTCTGTTGTAGTGTATAAGTATGTAGATCTAATCATATAGTTCTTTTATACTCGTAACGTTTACCCATACAAAAGGAGATTTCAATACAATTAATAAAACGTTTTTATTTGTATGCAAAACGAAAAAAAATACTTATGAATTATTAAAGAAATTCTATATCAAATGTAAAAAACTACTAATTACTATTTCTTCATTTTCATTTACATTTGTCGAATCGTTCAATTTGTAAAAATAATCTTCAATAATTTCGAAACTAACTAAATAAACTTGAAGTGGTATTGAGTATTTTCTTATCGACGGCTGGAACGCCGTACCGACTAAATAAATGATGTACTTTTAAAGAGAAACTGGGTTTTCGCTACGAACACGTATCTTGAAGATTAACAAATAGACCAATCCACTATCCTTATCACTAAAGTCTGTAGTCTGTTTACCGATTCTAGAAAGAAGCAAACAAAAATTGGTCCAACGAATTACATGTACATGCATACATGTTTATATGCTTATTCATAAACGATAAGCTATAAATGTTTTCCATTGTTTTTGCATAACGTTCAGTATGGGTATCTGTAGAGAGTGTAGTATTTTCGCGGTTGAATTCACGAGTCGATCTACGCTAGACTACCAATGAAAACCTGGAAATACTGAACAGTATGGGATTCCTCAGCAGTGCATCCACGATCCCGCCCGCGGGATTCGGACCCAGAACATTCGATCTCGCGTGTAAACGCTTAACCTCTAGACCACTGAGCCTTCATCAGATGGTGTTAATATCTAACTTCAACCAATTCACGATATTGCGCGACCACCTCCCATAGTCTTTGATGGGTCACTGCCTCACACCATCATACTCTTAAAATTCATTTATTGAGCTAAGGAAAGAAAATAATAGTTGTTTTAAAGTCAGCTGTTATTATTCCCCTTTAAAAAACATTATGGTGATTATTATTGCATACTTTCAGAGAGCAGAATAAAAAAGAAGCTAATGAACAGAAATACACACTCAGATTTTATTCCAGATTTTTTCCTCTTTTTCGCTGCTACCAGAGCGCACTTATCCATCTATCATCTTTCTTTTTTTGTTGTCGATGCTGAGTTCATTTTTTTCTGTGTTGCGTGAAAAAATCATCCTATTTTCAACATTTTATTATGCATATCAGTTGAGCAACATACGGTGAATGAAGGTAAGCTTATATTGATTACGGGTGAATAGGTGGAGATTCAGAGAGATGGAGAGCAAGCGAAGTAGTGAATCAGTGAGTGGGAAGGCGAAAAAGTGACAGGGAGAGAAAGCATCACATAAAAGACAAAAAGCAAGTGAATTGTTTTTATTTTGAATAACATTATAGTTGTTGTTACCGATAGTGATATTGATGATGATAGTGATAATGATAATGTCAATTTGATCAATTCCCCCTTATTACATCCTATTAGAAAAATATCTATTCCACTTTTTATCTATATTTTTGATGCAGATCAAACAAAATGAAGCGAATTAACTGTTATCATGACAGCTAGCAGACAATATTACCTTAATACTGTTCAATAAACTGATATAATCGAAGAAGAAAAAGAGGAGAAAGAGATACTTATCTAATTGCATATGACGTACACACATACGCTTGTTCGTTGCAATGATTATTACTTCTATTATTATTATTAGTAGTAGTAGTATTAAGGTTGCCAAAAATTATGAAGAGAAGAGACATAAATCTCTTGTGCAATTTCAATGACAACCAATATCAGTGAAAGATAATTTATTAAAAAAATACAACTGATCAGTAGAAAAACTACTACTTCTGGATGGAATAAGTAGTTTGTAACCATTTCAATAAAGTGACTAATTTCTAGTCCGTCAGTCAGTCTTACTCAATGTAGAGTCTGGCATATGTGTACAATAGTTCAAATTGCTGTGTTCCATTAGCACCACGAATCAAAATTGTCAGGGCGAATCCCAGCATAATACAGTTGATATCAGTGTCAGTGGTAGTAGGAAAAATTAGATATCCAAGATACGATTCGCGAAGAAAATGTAAATCAGTGAAATAACAAAAAACATTTGTGTAGCTTAGGTACTTAGGTTCTGAGCGTTAATGATCACTTTAAGATTCATGATCAATATCCTTTGATCAAACATTGTCATTTTACATGATAAACCATTGAATTTAAATAGTCAGTCAGTTAGTCACAAGAAACAAACTGTGCGTATTTACATCGGTTCAAGTTGTCATATCTCATCGGCACACCGCTATGAAGCCTTCAGGCCGAAATCCATGATAGTAGAGGTGGTAACAGTATCAGGGGTAATCGAAAAGTTTGAGCATTTAAGCTACGACTCGAATACAGATTATAAGTTAGTGAAATAAAACCAAAAATGAATTATGAGGAACTTAAAATCTCAGGATTTGGGAGAACACAAAGAATGGATGCAAGTGCTTTATTGTAAACGATTTCAAGCCATTTCTTTCAAGATCTCTAATAATCGCTCACAATAACCACCCGAATCCCCATAACGTAGTCTGATCAAGGCCAACTTGGCTTTCTGAATCCTAAGATCATTACAAAAACCTCTTGCTAGATGCATTGATGTTATAAATTAAGGTGAGTTTAACTTAATAAGTTGACTTATCTTGGTTACTAATTTAAAAATAATTTCACCTAAAATTAACTATTCGAACAGATTTGGCTGTTAACAGGACCAATAAATAGAGTAGAACTACTTAATGGTTAGTAATTTTTGTATTTGTTTATTGTTTCGGACCACTAATCATATATTAAATACCACCATTACACTATAACATTTTCATATCACGTAATACAATCAGGGATGTTTATGAGATTATGCACTGTGATTAATCTTTAGATAATAGTTTATATCATGAACCTATGTTACATAAACAACAATTGGAAATTATGAAACAATTGTCTGAAAGCTCTTTCGTCATATGATAGGATTCTTGATTAATACTCACCCATAACCCCCTAGAGACCGAGGCCAGGGTTTTTGTGTTTTAGAGCTAGTCCATCACTATTTATGATATCTAACAAATTATAAAAATCTAATTACAATCTAATATTTTTCAAATGAAAATCATTAGTTTGTTGTTTTTCTTTCAAAGAGACATTTTTACTATTTATAATTATTCTCACCTCTATTTCTGATTGATCGGTTCAATCAATCATAGATGTAAAATAATATTCTCAAATAGTATAACTAAACCGTTTACACTGAGTATATTTGATGTCTTATTTTCCTTTCACTGTATGGTGAAAGCCAGACAAAAATCGTAAGTCGGTTTGAACTTCTGATAAAAAAAGCTTTTATAGCTATCCTATTTAATGAACTGTTAAATATCAGACTGCAATTGTGACAGTAGTATTCTGATATTTTTGTTTGCCATTTATAATTAACCATGCAACAGACATACTTGAATACAACTGATCGATAAGTGAGTAGTCACCAGTTTTATATTTACTTAGTTCTATGTAGCACTGATTGAGTCCCATCGGTCAAGCTGAAATGTGGTCATCACTTTAACTGACTCAACATCGACTTATGTTAAAATGTAATCTGGCAGCTGTAGGTAGTTGACTAGTAGTTTTGGACTCATGCTACCTGGAACTCGTCAGCAGTGTACACTCGTAATTTTAAAGTAGCTGATGCTCTCTTTGAGATTCGAACCTTCATCACCAAGCTTCACAGTTCAATATAGCAGGTAAACTATGCTAATGAGTGTCACCTCGCATGAAGTGTAGGTCTAGAATTCTTACAGTCTCTGATACACTCGGTGCACTGATTGCTTAAGACAGTGAATTATTTACTTCGAAGAAACAATCTTACACATCAACTTACACATTTCCTCTTTGATAAATGTGAAAAGGTAATCTCTGGCATTCTGTTTAATCGTTTACCAAGTTTCATCAGATATAGATTAAGCTCTTCTTAAGGAAGAATAATAATAATGTTTACCATTTTGATGATAGATAGAGTCAGTTTTTAATAAATAAATAAATCCAGGGATGAATTCACTTATGCCTTTTAAAATTGGTTTGCGAAATGTGTTTTTCTTTTTCATTTATTTCATCAATATTATACTA